CTTGTATCGATTGATCTGACATTGTCCTAATGATCAAAGGAATATAACTTTTGATAATTAAAAATTATTTATTGTCTTCTAGACAATATTACATCAATTTATCAACGAGAGAGAGAAAGAGAAGAAAAAGAAATATATTACATAAAGAATGAATGAAATATTTACATATATATTACATATATTTTACAAGGGGGATGAAGATAGGAAACCTCGACGCTGGAGGGTCCTGGACCAGGCGATGAGCGGGTCCTCCACCGCTTCTCCGAGCCCAACCTGGACAAAGTGGCGATGCAATATATTGTGATCCGAGCATCCAATAAGCCATGAGAAACCGGCGTTATTTAGTGTATTTGTTAAACTCTTTGTAAATACAATATTTTGTCTTGTAGAGGTATATACATACCACAAGTGTAATAGACATAGTAATTTTCTAATGGCAAATATATGGACATATTCTGAATAGTACTGTTCTAAGATAATGACCAGTAGAAGGACAGTAGAAGTTTGTTTTGCGTGAAAGAAATACTCGTGCTTTAATGATTTCATTTCCTATTCCCTTAAATAAAAAGGAATCCATTGATAGATTTTATATTTCTCTCTACGATTAAAATATCCAAACATTATATATATAGTAAAACGACATTTGAAAATTATCCTGCATGTGTTTCTTTTGAACGAAAAATCAAAACTTATTTTAAGGAGAAATAACGTTTATTTATAACCTTAGGGATGAAGGATGATAGTATGAATTGTGAAGAGTAATGATAAACGGAAATGATATATATAGTATTATGACAATTGGAAGCTATTATAGACGCATATGATTCTTTTTTTATTTATATATTTATAATTGTATGTAATTCTACTGTTCTCAAAGCTTATGTCGATAGTTCATCTAAAATACCCATTCCAAGAGTCTAGCTTCAGTATCACTAAAAGAGGAAGATCGAAAAATGCAATATAACAGCGGTATGGTAGATTAAACTGGCCAAAACGCTGGGAGGGTTTACCACTGATGAGCCAGGCCCTCCCTTTAATTTTTCCATCACAGTAAGGACAGTAGAAATTGTTTAATTTTTAAAAGAATCATACGCGTCTATAATAGTTTCCAATTTTCATAACAGATGGCGCGTTAATGTATCATAATATAGTATTTTAAAATAAAAATATAAACACACACACACACACCACTCGGCCACCGTTACTGGTGCTGCCGTTCCATCAGGCCTCTCATCAGAGAGGCCTTCAACATCATAGGGCGGCACCCTGACCTGCAGGCTTGGATCTTCGGCGGGTCCGGCCTTGAGGACGACGCCCTTTCCATCCTGGCGTCGGCAAAGTTGCGAATCTATCGCTACTTTGTCCAGGTTGGGCTCGGAGAAGCAGTGGAGGACCCGCTCATCGCCTGGTCCAGGACCCTCCAGGGCCGAGGTCTCCTACTTTTAGCCCCCTTGTAAATTTGTATATTATATATGTATATATTTAATTCTTTTTGTATATATTTTCTTCTCTCTCTCTCTTTGATATGTAACATTGTCTAGAAGACAATAAATAATGTTTAATTGTCACACACACACACACACACACACACACAAACACATATAACAAATATCTTTTGTATATTAAAAAAATAAATGACGTATAAATTGTCAAAAGTAGTTTATAGGGCATTAAAGGAAACAAATGCAAAAAAAAGTCCATTGTCTATCTGAATAAAACAATTTCAATTGTTTCCTTTTATCCAATTAATTGCCAAACAATGTTGAAAAAAGTTAATATTATTATAGGATAATGGATAGAAACAATTCAAATTAAATTTAAATTTCTCCATTTCGTTCTTAATATTTTCCAACGTTTTCCGTAACTATTTGATAAATGTTTTCTTTTTTTTTTCACGTCTATAAAATATTAATCGTTTGCCAAACATTACATATGGTTGATTAAAAAGACCTTTAAAAATGTAAAAATATATTTTTAGATTCACGCACAAAACATTTAATATATGATATAATATAGATGGAAATTTTGCCGGGAGAATATTGATCTAAAGAGATAAAGGTCGCCTCTCCCGTCAAAATAGACGTCAGAAAAGCGGCGACGGTCAATAGATGGCGTCTGGTTTTAGACGTCTATTTTGACGGGAGAGGTGACCTTTGTCTCTTTATATCAATATCCTCCCGGCAAATTTTCCATCTATATTTTAGCCATAGATTTGGCCCAGCCACTTTGCCAGCTAAACACCTCTTTGGCAGATTGTCAAGATTCCATTAGATCCCGTGTGGATCTTATGGAATAAAATCCGCCCTAGACTGACGAGGGCCATTAGCCTGAAACCATGGTCTCTAGGTGGACGCTTCTCAGTTTGCCAAAGCTGGTGTTGTGGCTTTATCACCGACCTGAGGCTGCTAGTTTGCGGCGACGGTCAATAGATGGCGTTTATTTCTGACGTCTATTTTGACGGGAGAGGCGACCTTTGTCTCTTTAGATATGATATAATGTTGTATAAAATATATCAGCAATTGAATTTACTTTTTTTTTGTGTATAAAAATCAATTTTTAAATTCCTGTGGCATATATATACAATACAAAATGAAAGGATTTAAAAGGACGAACGTTTCTTTCATTTACAATCAAATTTCTACTGTCCCTACTGTGATAAAAAATATATATATATTAGGAGTGCTTGGCTCATCAGTGGTGAATCCTCCCAGCGGTTTCGCCAATTCAATCCACCAGACCGCTTCTCAGAGTTCTAATACTGTATTGGCCACTATATGAGCCAAACCCTCCCAATATATTTTTTCGTTACATTAGGAACAGTAGAAGTTTGTATTATGTATAAAAGAAACATTCGTGCTTTTAAATCTTTTCATTTTATATGTATAGATGGTGCGTTATTGCTCTGTGTTAATATATATATATGTAGTAATGTAGTTGTTGTATTTTGTTGGATGACTGTAGTGTGGCATGTTGGTTGCAGTCGTGGTGGCCACAATGATTAGAGTGGGTTCAGACTTGATTGGGATTACACAAAAGGACGAGGCATGTTGGATGTCACCATAGAGATGGCGAGAGAGCAAGTGTAGCCGACGCCGGTCAGGGGAGATCTGTCTAGAGGGGTCTGTCAATTCTCATGTCTCAAAGCAGACTAATCTGTTTGAGTAAGAAAGGGGCACACCTGGGAACCCGACTTGTTTTTCGGACCCTTTTCCTCTACAGGCGCCGACTGTCACTCACTCGAAACTTTATTTCTGTCACATTGGCAATTACATTATAACTATACAACACATGGGGATATATGTATATATTGGAATATATTACAACATATATAATATTATAAATACAATTTATAAGTAGTTTTCTTGTTGTAATTTTATTTCAAACCAAACGAAAACAACAAAATTGAGAGATTACATGGATAATTCTTGTGAAGCTGATTCCTGAGAAAAATTCTAAAATATTTTAAGGCATTCTTTTCTACATTTATCCTAGTAATTTAAAAATAAATATCTACTTAGATGATTAAAAAATCCATTTTAGGAATCTCTTTTAAATCGTTTTTTAAGATATTTAGAGGGACCGAGAAATTGAGCTGGCGCCAAAACTCAACGACCAGTCTAGATACTTATTTTTAAATAATTCATTTGTGTGTGTAAAAGGAATTTTGTGTAATTCTTCCATATATAAAATATAATACAAAAAATGTTTACATTTTAAAAGCAAATGTGAGCAGTAATTTTAAACACATTTTTTTATTTTAAAATAAATAAATATATATATAATTAAATATAATATATATGAAAGATAGTTGTATTAGAGAATAAATAATGATAATTAAAAACAAATTATAAAAATATTACTTATAAGGTATCAAAAATGTTTTTTTATTTTTTATTTTAAGTAACAACATAGGGTTATAACAAGTTCACGCTGTATGACTAAAATTGGACATAAGTAAAAATAAAAAGGTAAAACAAAAAAAATGACTTTAGGATATAGATGATCTTGAACAGTACTCCCTCCCAAAAGTGACTTAGATTAAGTAGAGCTTATTTGGCACATAGTTTGTCATAGCTGGCCTTATGTAAGGGCAGGAATATGGGAGTTTAGGGCTGAGAACTTCATAGTTTGAAGCCATCATTTAAGTAATACTGCCTTAATGGAGAATAAACTATTTATCTTGAAGAGAGATAGATTGAGATTGAAACAACTTTATTACAATGTCCATATAAGGTTATATAAGGTTAGATACAGATAAATACATAGAGAGCTGGGCACCAGGATAGTAAGTAATAATATTATAAAGTAAATAAAGATTCCAGGGTTAAGTTTCTTGTTCAAATTTTTTATTTTCAAGCTTTCGGACTTGTTAGTCCTTCAACAGGATTATCACGATAAAAAATAGATGTTATATACTATTTTATATACAAATTAATTTTTACATATTTAAATATTAATGATATTGAAAGGGGAGAAATATATATTACATTCTTTGTGTGTTATTAACAATGTTTATTTTGAACGAAAAATCCCTATACACTTAATTTTGCGTTTATCATTACCCTTCACAATTTTGTCCTTTCATACTTTGTCCCTAAGGATAGAAATAATCGTTTTTCTCCTTAAAATAAAATTAGATTTTTCGTTCAAAAGAAACATTTGCGGTATAATTGTCAAACATCATTATACATGTATATAAATATAAATATTTTAGAAAATGAACGATTATTATTTAAAAATATTTTCGCATACAAATAATTTGTGAAAACAGGATAAATATTAGGAATATAGAGAAAGACAGAAATATATATTTAATAGATGACATTTTGCTATTTCTATCTATATATTGTAGAACGCCATTCAAAAATTACCCCGCATGTGTTTCTTTTGAACGAAAAATCGAAATTTATTTTAAGGAGAAATAACGATTATTTCTAACCTTAGGGATGAAGTATGAAAGGATGAATTGTGAAGAGTAATGATAAAAGGGCAAATAAAGTGTTCAGGGATGGGAATCGAACCCACAGTGTTCCGCTTACCGGGCAGATGCCATGTCCACTAGGCTACCCTGGACATATTTTTCCATTCGTAAATATAATATGAGGAAATTTATTAAAAATAAAAAATACATACCCTGACCAGGAGCACATGTACTTTTCAGAAGGCAGAGCGCCATCTGGTGGAACAGAAATGAACTAATTATTGATTTAGCCTGTTCCCTGATATTTGGCCAACCCAATTTCTTGATGAATAAAGAAAAGCCATCCACGAAAGTAATTTATAATACAATATAATGCGACTTATGATTGTAGAACGACATTTGAAATTTATTATTCTGTGTAATATTTGTTGTTTCTAGAGAAATTAAATAAGATTTATAACAGGCTGAGTTAGCTAGATATTCCAGCATTGAGTCTATACAATATGAACAAAATACAATTCCATGGTAGCTAACGAGACTGCCCGCAAGGGACCCTGTCATCATTATTCAGAAGGTAAAGGAGGATGGTCTTGAGGGAGGTTGATCTGAATTCTCTTATATAGACTTATTCTGATAGGATGTATTGCCACGCCATCTATAATCGGAAATGTGAACTATTAATAACGTAACTTTATTAATAACATAAATGATATTCTACTCTCCTTATTTCAATGATAAATACCACAATATTGTTTATCATTATATATATGTTATATAAAGGTATTATTTAAAATGTTATATTAAAATATTATTTTATTTGGAAATATATTTCATAGATACAAATACTGCTAAATCGACCGCCAGAGGTCACTCTTCCCCTATAAAAACTCGTTGTTGTTCTTCCCCGTTGGTCAGCTCAAAACTTGTAAATTATGTAAATAATATTTTGTTTTCTTTGTTTACTCGCCTTAAGCCAGGCATGACTTTTGCCAAATTATGTTTATCCTAAAGCTCAATTAAAGCAATTTCTAATCTTTACTATTTTTATTATTTTACTTTCAAGATTTTAGCCACGACTGCATCACCAATACCATTTAGTACTAAAAAAGAACCAGCAAATAACTCCATGGTATAATCCTCAACATAATCGAAAATCAAGCAGAAAATATATTTTTTATATTATAAGATATATATATACATAAGTAGAATTAAATATAATATAAATGAAAGAAAGTTGTATTAGAGAATAAATAATGATAATTAAAAACAAATTATAAAAATATTACTTTTAGGGTATCAAAAAGGTTTTTATTTTAAGTAACAACATAGGGTTATAACAGGTTCACGCTGTAGCATCGGCAGTTATATAAGCAGAACATAGGGAAAAATGAAGAATTGAAGGTATTAGTGTATTATATTTGGTATAATATAACCTGTAAAGCACATGTGCTCCTGGTCAGGATATGCCATTTCTATTTTTAATATCAACACCTGATCCACTTATCTTTTATTTTTTCTATTGTTTTTTCATGTGTTAAGCGTATTTACGCAAGTTTGGCCTTAAATACCCATTTCTTGGTTTCTCAAGAAGCCTCTGGGACCAAAAATATTTTTGGTCGCAGTGGTACAGCCTACTCCACGCTGACGAGCGCCAACAGCACGAAACGCGTTCGTGGATGGCTTTTCTTGATTTATCAAGAAATTGGGTTGGCCAAATATCACGGAGCAAGTTAAATAAACGTTTGGTTTATTTTTGCTCCACTAGATGGCGCTCTGCCATCTAAAAAGCACATGTGCTCGTGGTCAAGAAATGCCTTCGTTATTTTTAATATATATATATATTTTTAATAATCAGTTTTTGTGATAATTATTATAAATTAAATTATTAATTTAACTAAATCAACATCAAAAAGTTGTGAAATGGAAATAAAATAGAAAGGTGAAAAAATGAAGTAAAAATAAAAGAAATTTTTCAAAGATCTTTAATTTCTTATTAACAATAGAGGGATATAACAAGGTTTACGCAAAAGCTTCGTCAGCTACGCCTCATATATGCGGAATTTAGAAAGAAAAAAAGAAAAGGTGAAGATATTTAGAATCGAAAAATAGCTAAATACAGAAACATTATAATATGTATTCAAACAAAAAGATGATAAAACACAGATTAGAAGATTTTTTAATAAATTAATTATTAAGAAAAAAATTTTAAATTTATATATATTAAAAATACAATATATTATTAAAATAATTATATCAAAGTGGTCATTTTGCCACATTAGTGCGCATATAACTTTATAATAATATACAATACAAACTTTAATATAAGGTTATCCCAAAGGTTCGTAAACATTTTATGATTTATATTTCGTAAGTGTTTACGAACTTTTGGGACAACCTTGTGATTCTGAAACTTGGCCCACCTGCTGATTGGTCACACTTGATATAGAACATAAGAAAATAAATCATTCTTCTATAAGAATTCTGTTATAATTTTACCAAGGTTACCAATATTACCAAAAGTTCGTAAACACTTGCAAAATTATAATCATATGTTTACGAACTTTTGAGACAACCTTGGTAATATTGGTAACCTTGGTTAAATTATAACAAAATTTTTATAGAAGAATGATTTAATCTCTGATGTTCTATATCAAGGGTGGCCAATCAGCATGTGGGCCAAGTTTCAGAATTAAAGGTTGTTCCTAAAGTTCGTTAACACTTGCAAAATATAAATCATATAAACATATTATGATATGTTTACGACCTTTTGGGACAACTTTATAAATAACATTTGCTGTTTTCAAAATAAAAACTCATTTCTACCTATTATTAATTTGAAAACTAGCAGATTGAAAGTAATTTACACTGAATACATAATTTATCAGACAATTTGAATCACAGTTTTGCTCTTTATATGACTGCGCTGAGTTAATAAAGACTCAAATGATTTAAAAATGGTATAAAAATTATACATTCATGGACAAAACTTAAGAAACTTAAGAACTTCGTCTTTGATTTTACCAGTTGTCTGTTTTTCTTAAGGAGAAAGAAATAATTTTGTTCGCACTATCTCGTGTGTCTTCAATAAATATCACTGTGTATCAAATATCTTTCAGTGTTATTATCTGAATCCCAATATATGTGCTAAAGGTACAACTTCCTCAAGTTTTTTCCATGAGTGTGTCTTCAATAAAGGTGTCACTGTAAAATCTCTCAGATTTATTGTCTGAATCCCGATATACATGCTAAAAGGTACAACTTACTTAAGTGTTGTCCATAAGTGTGACTTCAATAAAGATCACTGTAATATCTTTCAGAGTTATTGTCTGAATCCCGATATATATGCTAAAAAGGTACAACTTACTTAAGTGTTGTCCATGAGTGTATCTTCAATAAAGGTCACTGTAATAACTTTCAGAGTTATTATCTGAATCCCGATATACATGCTAAAAAGGTACAACTTCCTTAAGTTTTGTCCATGAGTGTATCTTCAAAAAAGGTCACTATAATATCTTTCAGAGTTTTTGTCTGAATCCCGATATACATGTTAAAAGGTACAACTTCCTTAAGTTTTATCCATGAGTGTATCTTCAAAAAAGGTCACTGTAATATCTTTCAGAGTTATTGTCTGAATCCCGATATACATGCTAAAAGGTACATCTTCCTTAGGTTTTGTCCATGAGTGTATCTTCAAAAAGGTCACTGTAATATATTTCAGAGTTATTGTCTGAATCCCGATATACATGTTAAAAGGTACAACTTCCTTAAGTTTTGTCCATGAGTGTATCTTCAAAAAAGGTCACTGTAATATCTTTCAGAGTTATTGTATGAATCCCGATATACATGCTAAAAGGTACATCTTCCTTTTGTCCATGAGTGTATCTTCAAAAAAGGTCACTGTAATATCTTTCAGAGTTATTGTCTGAATCCCGATATACATGTTAAAAGGTACAACTTCCTTAAGTTTTGTCCATGAGTGTATCTTCAAAAAAGGTCACTGTAATATCTTTCAGAGTTATTGTCTGAATCCCGATTAACATGTTAAAAGGTACAACTTCCTTAAGTTTTGTCCATGAGTGTATCTTCAAAAAAGGTCACTGTAATATCTTTCAGAGTTATTGTCTGAATCCCGATATACATGCTAAAAGGTACATCTTCCTTAAGTTTTGCCCATGAGTGTATCTTCAAAAAAGGTCACTGTAATATCTTTCAGAGTTATTGTCTGAATCCCTATATACATGCTAAAAGGTACATCTTCCTTAAGTTTTGTCCATGAGTGTATCTTCAATAAAGGTCACTGTAATACCTTTCAGAGTTATTATCTGAATCCCGATATACATGCTAAAAAGGTACAACTTCCTTAAGTTTTGTCCATGAGTGTATCTTCAATAAAGATCATTGTTATATCTTTCAGAGTTATTTTCTGAATCCCAATATACATGCTAAAAGGTACAACTTCCTTAAGTTTTGTCCATGAGTGTGACTTCAATAAAGATCACTGTAATATCTTTCAGAATTAATGTCTCAATCCCGATATACATGCTAAAAAGGTACAACTTCCTTAAGTTTTTTCCATGAGTGTGTCTTCAATAAAGATCACTGTAATATCTTTCAGAGTTATTGTCTGAATCCCGATATACATGCTAAAAGGTACATCTTCCTTAAGTTTTGTCCATGAGTGTATCTTCAAAAAAGGTCACTGTAATATATTTCAGAGTTATTATCTGAATCCCGATATACATGATAAAAAGGTACAACTTCCTCAAGTTTTCTCCATGAGTGTGTCTTCAATAAAGGTCACTGTAATATCTTTCAGAGTTATTGTCTGAATCCCGATATACATGCTAAAAGGTACAACTTCCTTAAGTTTTGTCCATGAGTGTGTCTTCAATAAAGGTCACTGTAATATCTTTCAGAGTTATTGTCTGAATCCCGATATACATGCTAAAAGGTACAACTTCCTTAAGTTTTGTCCATGAGTGTATCTTCAATAAAGGTCACTGTAATATCTTTCAGAGTTATTGTCTGAATCCCGATATACATGCTAAAAGGTACAACTTCCTTAAGTTTTGTCCATGAGTGTATCTTCAATAAAGGTCACTGTAATATCTTTCAGAGTTATTGTCTGAATCCCGATATACATGCTAAAAGG